CACTTTAACCTTTGTCTCTTCCTTGTCCCCTTGCCATGATGTGTTTTTGTTTTCACAAATATGCTCTTTGTCTCAGAAAATCCCACTTAACTAAAGTAATGTATTGTTACCTAATGGCATGGTAACAAGTAGAAATAAGATGAGTGGAGGTAAAACTGGCCCAAAGCAGATTTTCAGAGCTGTGGTAACATGCTGGATCAGTTGGATAGGCTATACTTGTCCAATGGAGCTCAAATTTGGATATGTTGTAGTCAACATCCATTGGAACAAGTTTCATGAAGATCTTCACCTCATTCGAGCACCGGAGCATGCTAATCTAAGACCAAGAAGTTGACCTACGAAAATGAACAAAAACAGAATCTATAACCAATAATGCACTTTTAGTTCATTTTCATTTTAATCAATGTAAAATCTATGAAAACACAAAAAAGAAGTAAAAAGCTAGAAAATATCAAGAACTAACTCAAAATAATGGGTGAATAACATGATAAATCATGTGTAAAATTGAACCCAACAGTCACCCCATGTATGTTTCTTTAATGAAAGGAAGATGAGAGTGTATGTTTCTTGTTTGCACTGCAGTCTCTCTCTCTCATCTCACAGTCTGCTCTCCTTTCTTCATATCATGCCGTGCGAATTTGAGTTTTTAAGCACAAGATCACTACACAGCTCTGCAATTTCACTCAAGCTACATAGCTCTGCAGTTTCACTACTCAAGCCGCTTCTGTCAACCTCAGTTTGTATTTCTATATTTTTCAAAAGTGTGTAAGATGATTTAAGTAATAATTAAAAACAAAAATACACAAACACAAACTCGACCTCAATCTACAGATTCAGACAAAAATCTGTTAAAAAGTAAGGCCATTACTAGTTAAGATAGGAAAAACAAAATTAACAGCCTCATTAATATCATTCTGCAAGTGGATTTATCAAGTAAGATTTGTTTTGTTTCAGTCTACAGGTGGAAAGTTTCCTGTCGTTCGAATATGGTCAAGAGTCTTTCTTAGACCATGTTTGAGAACTGCATTTCTACTTAACTTGAACCGTCCTTCATAATGTAGCTTCTGAACGTCGTAGACCTTGAGCACCGGATTCTCAGTTCCGTCCTCTAGTCCATAACATGACTCCTCAATTTGGTGTTGAAAAAATTCACCAAGCTTCTTCTCAAAGTCAGACCCAGATTTCATCTTTAAGTCCAGCCACATATGGGCTAACACTTGGCTCATAGCCTCTATAATCGGTGAGCTCTCATGTACTTTTCCAAAAAAGCTAAGCTGTAGCCATGCGTCCATTATACTGCGAGCCATAATCGACCCTGCCAACAGCCTAGGAAGACCAGTTAGTATCCGAATTGATGATACTTCAAGGAAAGGCTTCAACTTCCTTTTTTTTTTCTTCCATACGATACAGCCCTTGGTAGCCCCACCTGCTAGGAAATGACGACTCACGCGGCCATTCTTTTCTCCCTTATTCACGGTTTTGAAGAGTTCTTCTTTGTCCACCAAGTATATTCGAATATTTTTCTCCTGAATTTTCAAATAAAAAATATCTTTTACTTGAAGGAAAAGGGCTTCGCATTCGTGAGCTTCTGTAATCGCTTAATCACGGCACTCCAGACATAGTGACCGGCCATCAGTAAGAAAATAATATATGGTGTTCCTTTGCTGTAATCTTTCACAGCTGCAACACTTGGGAGTTCCGTCGTCCTCATGAGAAGGACAGGAACTTTGTGGCAAGAAAGGATGTACCAGAAACTTATTATTAAAACCACCATCTGAATATGATCGGATTAAATTTCAACAAACAGCACATTGTGAACGACGATGCTCCATGTTGCAGGAAATGTGGGAAGAAATGATGAAAATCATCTTTGTCTTGTAATCCCAGGAGCTGATATCGTTCCTTTATGTTGTGTTCGATCAACAGAGGTTCCTTCTGGTTGTAATAATGTTCGATCCACATCATCAATAACGAGAAGCACTTTTTTATTCCATAACAGTGCTCGGTCAGATTGGTTCCCCTATCAACATCCCAAACTTCATTAACTTTTTCCTTCAAGAATGGGGAAAGAAGTCGTTTTTGTAAATGAATAAGACCATGGGTTGCATAAACTTCTCTGACATTAGGAAGAAAGTAGCTAACATCGAAGTGATGGGAAATTCTATCATAAACAAGTATTGCGGTAATTGTCTTCCCTGTGCCACCAGCCCCCTATATCCCTATATAGCGAACATCTTTTGCATCACGATCTAATAGCAATTCTATTTTCTTCGGTCTAAAATCAATTCCGACCAACTTTGTTGTGGAACCTGGCAATGTGAATATTGTAGAATAAACTTGATTACACACTTCTTCAACAATTTCTTTGATAAAGTCGCTCTCATCTCTACAACCAAGAAAAAAACATCTGGTGAGATTATATATATGAAGCATAATTTGGAAAAAAAAAAAAAAAAAACTAATATATTAACAATAACTAATATTTTATGGCTCATCAATTAGTCAAATTTGCTTTCTTTAGGATGATTTGTGTTCTTTGTATTCTATTGATTAATAAAGTTTTTGGCCTTTGGCCACTTTTTCGTGTCATTATATGTACGTTCTTGATATTATGAATGAACATTTTCTTCAAAAAAAATTCTCTGCCCTTTAATTTAAATATAAACAAAAAGAATATGGTATGCAAGCTTGAAATTTGTATTATATGAACGACTTGAGGGTGCCCATTGTCATTGTGAACTAAAATCCTGATGTAGAACAAATGGCTAAATGGTTTGAAGAAGAATTGGAGAGAAGAAGGAAAAAAGGACACAACATGAATTTATAGATTTGGTGTCTGAGCTCTGATTGGGTCGCATAATACCTTTCCTAAAAGGAAACGATAGCACGAGGGCATTTAAAGATTGTAATCAATTTACGTACTTTTCGTTTCTTTTCTGTTAAACTTTCAATAACTCCCCAGGGCAGTCCATTGGGCGAGAATGGTGTATTTTGACAGTCATCGTGTATGGTTGGACTCAACTCATCTTTTATCAAATAATACAAATAGTGAAAATTTTCTCTCTAACTTTCTAGTGGATTCGAAGCTTATGTTCTTTTCTAAGTTACGCTTGTAACCTTTTTGCTTGTACTGCGTCAAATTCTGACTCTACCCCTGTAAAAAAAAAAAAAAAAAAAAA